GTTAGTGACTGCTGTAATCATCACCGCCCGCTGGCAATTGTAAGTGACTGCTGTTTAAATAACACCCCCGCGGCAATTTTAGTGACTGCGCTGTAATTAACACCCCCGATCGTCAATGTTAGTGACAAGCTGTAATTATCACCCCCGCGGCAATGTTAGTGACTGCAGAAAATATCACCCCCGCGGCAAATGTTGTGCCAGTGTAATTATCACCGCCCCGCGGCAAGTGTTATTGACTGGCTGTAATGTATCACACCCCGCGGTGCAATTGTTATGACTGCTGTGTAATTATCAAGGCCGCCCGCGTCTAGTGTTAGTGACTGCTGTAATATCAACCGCCCCGCTTCAATGTTAGTTACTGGCTGTAAACATCGCCTTGGAGACCACCTCGATCATAGTACTTGTAATCGTGATCTATTATGATGTTAGTGAACCGCACATGAGAACGCACACCTTTGTGTATTCTACACATGTAATACTACAAGACTAACTTAGTAACTACTGTAAAATATAAGAAAATTAGGGAGATAAACCAGTTTTTTATGTGTCAGAGAGAGAAATAGAGAGAGAGAGACCCGAGCAAGACGACTTAATTCTCGCCTGGCTGGAGCTCGCACTGGATAGATCATTTCATTTCATGAGAGCCGTCAACCATGGAGAGACGGGGGTGGCCTTATGTTATGATACAGAGGTCAATGTTGCTAAGGTACCACTAAACTTTTTCCACTTTCGCTGACAGTCAGTGAAAGTAGCTTGTATATCTGCACCAGGGAAAGACTGGCATGCAAATAGTACCCCTACACATACACTTCACCCGAGAGATGCCATTTATGGCCCAAAAAAAGAATGACTCGATTCTAAGGAACATGTTCGTTACAGTGCACAGTGCCATTAATTACATAAAGTTTATGGTCTCATGGCCAAAAGAGTGAGCCCAGATTTCATGTGTTCTTTATTTGGTATGTTTAATAAGATAAAAACTGTAATAAAGGTTACGTCTGGGTAAGAAGGATTAGATATTAGAGAGAAAGAAGAGAGAGATAGAGATGAGAGAGAGAAGAGAGAGATAGATGAGTAGAGTAGGAAGAGAGATGGAGGGAGGAAAGGATATAGAACGAAAGGCTGAGGATTGCCACAATAATCCCTAAATAAACGCTCCACCTCCTATCTAGGTTTATCCTTCTGGTTCTCTTTATTTTGTAGTAACATACCTTTTCCTGTAGGAATCAACATCTCATCTTCCCCTCCCATCTGTCCCATCTCTCATCTCTCCCTCCTACCTCTCGTCTTGCCCCTTCCATCTTACCCCCTCACATGTACTCATGTACTACAAGTACCCAGGGCAGCTACGTAGCAAGGTTGTGTTTTAACAAGCATATGTCTGTCAGCTGAGCTATGTACTGTGTCGTTCACTGTAATAATAATAATAAAAGCATCATAACCGTCATAATAATTATTATAATCATTATCATTACTTATAACAACAACCAGTTATTAATATAACCTCTCTTCTTGTTTTTACATATATCTTCATCTTTGTTGACTGTTGTTACTCTTTTAATGTTACATTAATATTACATTACCTTGTGTGTCTTAAACTTGTCTTCTGCACTGTACCAGACTGGAGGTAAATGCTATAAAATACCGACATGATGGAAAAACAGACATCAATGCAGTAAACCATACCCCCGGCCGGGATTGAACCCGCGGTCATAGAGTCTCAAAACTCCAGCCCGTCGCGTTAGCCACTAGACCAGCTAGCCACAATAAGATTCATCCAACTAGGTATATTTCTACACCATAGGAAAGTTAGCACAGGCACCTCTGTGACCACAAATGCAAGTTTTTACAGACGAATCTCCAGCTAGCGTGGCCACGCTAGCTGGAGATTCGTCTGTAAAAACTTGCATTGTGGTCACAGGGGTTGCTGTGCTAACTTTCCTATGGTGTAGAAATATACCTAGTTGGATGGAATTTATTGTGGCTAGCTGGTCTAGTGGCTAACGCGACGGGCTGGAGTTTTGAGACTCTATGACCGCGGGTTCAATCCCGGCCGGGGGTATGGTTTATTTGCAATCGTGTCATTACGATTTCTTAAGTCATCAATGCAGTATAATGCGATAATCATCTTTATTCATAAAGGGAGGGTGTTGAAGAGTCGTGGTCCCTTAACACTTATTAAGTTCTCTCTTAGTGTACTCATCTCTTCCTTGCTGTTAACTAGAGGTTTCTCGCACCATCTGCCAAGTCTGGTATTTTCATATGTAGTGATTTTGGTGTTCAGGTTTGGGACCAATCCCTCCAGAATTTTCCAGGCGTAGATTATCATGTGTCTTTCTCGCCTACGTTCCAGAGTTTTACAGTTCCATAGACTTGTAAAAAACTTCAGTAAATTTAGGTGCTTGACTGAGATTATACGAGCTGTGAAGGTTCTCTACTTTATCCAGTTCTACAGTTCCTCCTACCTTGAAGGAGGTTGTTAGTACATAGCCTATAATTTTTCTTTCATCTGTGATAACATTGTTGTGCTCCTTGAACGTGAGATCTGACATTATCACTCCCAGGTCTCTCATATTTGACTTAACTTCTGTTGAGTGGTTCGAGTTTGTCTTGTACTCCAATCTTGTTTTATTTCCTCAATCAGATAATGACCTGATAATAACCTGGTCAGTAATAAAACAAGCACTGACCTTCACCACCTCTCATTTACATACCATTTACAAATTTAAAGATCGCTAAATGTTTTAAAGTAGCCCGCCCCTCCTCCTCCCACTCCTCCTCCTCCTCCACCGCCTCCAACCTCCAAACCTCCTCCACCTCCCACCCACCTCCTCCACCTCCTCCACCTCCTCCACCTCCTCCTCCTCCCCCTCCTCCACCCCTCCACCTCCTCCTTCCACCTCCTCCACCTCCTCCTCCTCCACCCTCCTCCACCTCCTCCTCCTCCTCCACCTCTCCAACCTCCTCCCCACCTCCTCCCCCCTCCTCCTCCTCCACTCCTACCTCCTCACCTCCCCACCCCCTCCTCCACCTCCTCACCCCCTCCACCCCTCCTCCACCTCCTTCCCCCCCCTCCTCCACCTCCCCCCCTCCTCCCCTCCTCCACCTCCTCCTCTCCTCCTCCCCCACCCCCCACCCTCACCCCCACCCCTCCACCCCCTCCCCACCCCACCCCACCACCACCACCACCACCGCCACCGCCACCACCACCACACCACCACCACCACCCCCCCACCACCCCACCACCCCGCCACCCCACCCCCCACACCACCCCCCACACCACCACCCCCACCACCACCCACCGCCACCACCACCGCCACCACCACCACCACCACCCCACCACCCCCACCACCACCGCCACCCCCACCGCCACCACCACCCCCCCACAACCACCCCACCGCCACCACCCACCCCCCACCACCCCCCACCAACCACCGCACGCCACCACCCCCAAACCCCCCCACCCCCACCCCCACCACCCACCACCACCAACCCCACACCACCACCGCCAACCGCCACCACCCACCACCACGGCCACACCCACCGCCACCGCCACCACCACCCACCACCACCACCACCACCACCGCCACCACCACCGCCACCGCCACCCCACCCCCACCACCCACCACCACCACCACCACCACCACCACCACACCGCCACCACCGCCACCACCACCGCCACCACACCGCCCCCACCACCGCCCACCCACCCCCCCAACACCACCGCCACCACCACCGCCACCACCACCACCACACCCCACCACCCACCACCAAAACCGCCACCACCACACCACCACCACACCCCACCACCCCCAAACCACCACCGCCACCACCACCGCCACCGCCCGCCACCACACCACCCCACACCACCACCACCCCACACCACCGCCACCACCACCGCCACCGCCACCACCACCACCACCACCACCACCACCACCACCACCGCCACCACACCACCACCACCCCCAAACACCACCACCACCACCACCGCCACCACACCACCACCACCCACCACCACCGCCACCACACCGCCACCACCACCGCCACCACCACCGCCACCACACCGCCACCACCACCACCACCACCACCCCCACCACCGCCACCACCACCGCCACCACCACCACCACCACCACCGCCACCACCACCACCACCACCACCACCACCGCCACCACCACCACCACCACCGCCACCACCACCAACCACCCCCACCACCACCACCACCACCACCGCCACCATCATTAGATAAAGTATCAGTATAACCGAGCATGTGATGGAGGTCAGTGTTATCAGAGTGAAGCAGGAAGCTGAACCTGATGACCACGCCCCTCTCTTCCCCTCACTGGTGGCTGACCTGGGAAGTGACCTGGGGAAGGATGACCATCTTTAAGTCACTTGTTCTCTCTAAGCTGGAATATTGCTGTACACTAACAGCCCCATTCAAGTCAGTTGAAATCGTAGATCTGGAGAATATGTAGAGAGAACATTCACTACATGTATTAGCTCAGTCAAGCACCTTAATGGAACCGTTTGAAGTCCCTTGACCTGTACTTCTTGGAACGCAGGCGAGGAAGATACATAATAATTTACACTTGGGAAAATCCTATAGGGATTGATCCCAGCGTACGAGCCAGCCGGGCTGTGGTTCGTACGTTGGATTGCGTGTAGTTGGCAGTAGCAGCCTGGCTGTGATCAGGCTCTGATCCACCGTGAGACATGCTTATGGATCGGACCACGGGGGCGTAGACCCCAGAACACCCTCCAGGTAGACTCTAGGTGTGTGTATCACAGTGATGATACTTGTGGTGTTCTAACATGTTCTGAATGTTCTTCTCCAGGTGTGTGTACATCAGAGATGACAGTATTGTTTTAACATGTTCTTCTCCAGGTGTGTATACCACAGTGGTGATACTAGTGGTGTTCTGACATGTTCTTCTCCAGGTGTGTTTACCACAGAGGTAACAGTAGTGGTGTTCTAACATTGTTATGTTGTTCTCCTCCAGGCGTGTGCTCCACGCTACGTCTGGTTCACAGAGAATCTTCGGAGACGTGAACCTGTGGGTACTTGCTACGTCGCCCGCCAAGGTCTCACGGACTTCCAGGAGTTTTCTCCCTGCAGAACACGTGAGTACCCCAGCCCTGCTGTCTGCTTTCTTCCTCATGGTGTGTTTGTGTATGTTTGTCTTACCCTTCACACAACCCCTGCTGCTGCTGGTTCCTGATGTGTGTGTGTGTGTGTGTGTGTGTGTGTGTGTGTGTGTGTGTGTGTGTGTGTGTGTGTGTGTATGTGTGCGTGTGCGTGTGTGTATGTGTGCGTGTGCGTGTGTGTGTGGTGTGTGTGTGTGTGTGTGTGTGTGTGTGTGTGTGTGTGCGTGTGCGTGTGCGTGTGTGCGTGTGTGTGTGCGTGTGTGTGTGTTGTGTGTGTGTGTGTGTGTGTGTTGTGTGTGTGTGTGTGTGTGTGTGTGTGTGTGTGGTAACATGCAACAACGTTGGAAAGTCGACCCATTGACGTGTATTCTTTAGTTCTTCTTTGCTGTCATTGTCTTCCTTATCTTATTTTTTTTTTTTTGCTATCTTCGTCTTCTTTATCTCCATCTTCTTCATCTCCTTCATTTCCTTCATGGTGGTGTTTTTCTCAGTTACGGTCTGTGGGTTTGAGTGTGGGTGAACGCGGTGTTATGCCTGGCTGACTTCCTCTAATTGTTAGCATATATGGTAGAGCAGTGTATTGCCCCCACTCTCTGTCCACTACCACTACCACAACCAGCATCACCACTACCTCCATTACTACCACCTAAATCAGCAGCATCACCACCAGTAAGTACCACAGTCAAAAGCAAAATCTCCAGCATCATCAGCATCAGCACCACCACTTTTACCACCATCATCACTATCACCATCGTTGTCACAAAAGGTACGCGTCCTATCTTATATACCTTTTCTAATTTCCCGTCTTTAATCCACATGTTTCACATCATCTCCCTTTTATTTATACACTTTACTGTCCCTCTTACATATTTTCGCTCTCTTATCTACGCCGTTTTCTTCCCATCTTTCATCTACGCTCTTTACTTCCCGTCTTTCTTCTCTCTAGCACTGCTCAGCGTTAGAGTTCGGTTCACGACCCATAGATCTCAGGTTACATTCTGGACCAGGATGAGACATACGGGTAAGTCACCTTACACCTTACACCTTACCCCTCCTTACCAGTAGTAAATAAGTAACTTGGTGTTATTCAGGTGTTGTGGGCAGCACCCAGGAAGGACGTATATTACAGATAGGACCAAGGTTTGAAGTGTGCTGAGGTAGGATCGTACCTACATGGATAATAGCTCAAACTTACAAAGATAAATGTTAGGTTAAGTTGCTGCCATGAACTACTCTAGTCCAGCCCATGTTGATGTTGCACTCTTCTGCTGTACATTTTTTGACTCCAAGAAACCAATGTAAATCACTTCTGAACGTCCAAGGCATGAGCCTCTCTTCAGTTCAGTGATCAACATTCTTTCTCAAGATGGGTAACTCACTCGTATCTTGAAAGCTGTCACTAACAACTTGTCTGGTCAGCGATGATCCCCGGATAGTGGACGGAGTATCGAGCCTCTCATCACTGTTTGTAGAGAATGATTCTCTCGAGTTTAACGCTTCCTGGAAAAAAATAATTGGGCACAGATGCACCTCGTAATTTCAAGGTCTCGTGAAGTTGTGGAAAGTTAGCCTGAAGTGTTGTCGTGAGCTCCAGGTCAATTAAAGGTCACTCAAGATGGCCTCACTGACCTCTGACCACCACCGTTAGTTGCGGCAGTCATGTTTTTGTTGTTTCTTCTTTTAGGGGAGTCACCGTCCGTGATCACTGACACGCCTCTTGTGTAAGCTTGTGTGTGTATGTAGGTACCCTCGGGTATCATGTACGTGAACCCTCTGTACACCTTACCGTGTACACTAAAACTATAAAAAAAATGAAATTTTGGTGATAAGAAACTCGTATATTCCACCATTAAATAATATTTGTAAAGAGAAGAGTTTGGTCAGATGAATGAGATTATATAAACAATCTTGGAAATTATTGATGAAGAGTGACCCTGAAAATGAAAAATTTTATTGTGATTAACGATTTTAACTATAAATAATGAAGTTCGACAGCTATGAGGCTACAACTGCAGATAAAAAGTCAGTATAATTCTTAAATGTAATAACGGATGTTTTTACTCACGAGAAAGCAATTGAAGCGTCGCGAGCAACATAAAAACTCACCGTCAACATTACATTGAGTTCCATTGTCTCCTAATATCATGTTTATTTTTCCACTATAATCTACCTTGTCCACAATTACTATCGCATTTGCTTTGTCTGTTTTCGTAACGTAAAGTCTGGGATCTTTCCTTAATTCATGGTATAACTTAACAAATCTTTGAGGACAATTGTGTTGCAACACAGAGGTCTGAGCTTCGCCCAGACCTCTGCAAAACAAAAGGGTTTAGAGATGTATATCTGGATAAATATCTACAGTCCACTTATCTGTTGCAAGCAAATTTAGGAAATTTACTTAATATGTTTGGTATCTTATTTTCATTAATAAGGTAATTTTCTATCTCCATACTCTTCATTAAGTGGACGGTTAAGAACATATTGACCATAGGGCTGGACACATTGCATTTGGTTTCATCATGTGTGAGTCTCCCAAACTGTCAGAAGTACTTATAACCAAGCCTAGGCCTGGCTACCACAACATCAGTCAGTCTGTTCACAAATTACATAAACATACTTAACTACGTTCATGTTATTATAATGGGTTATAGATCTACTCAGGCTTCTAACTATATTCCTGATATTATTCCTAATGCTAGACACAAATCGCCAGTTATATTCTAAATTTTCCTTCAGTTTTATCATGAAAGAGTAATCCAATGTGTGATGGAATCCATAACAACTGTACATTCTTTTTCTCGGATTTTTGAGTATCTATATCTGGTTTCTACATTAAGTATGTTGTTAGTCATTATGCGAGTCAAGAGCCTTCGTTGATGACATAGAAGCAATAGTGATCAGAGTCAGCAAGTAGACGTTAACATTGTGGCCGAGTCACTACGCTACACCAGCTGCACTACGCTACACCAGCTGCACTACGCTACACCACCTTCACTACGCTACACCAGCTGCACTACGTTACACCAGCTGCACTACGCTTCACCAGCTGCACTACGCTACACCAGCTGCACTACGCTACACCACCTTCACTACGTTACACCACCTTCACTACGCTACACCAGCTGCACTACGTTACACCAGCTGCACTACGCTTCACCAGCTGCACTACGCTACACCAGCTGCACTACGCTACACCACCTTCACTACGCTACACCACCTTCACTACGCTACACCAGCTGCACTACGTTACACCAGCTGCACTACGCTTCACCAGCTGCACTACGCTACACCAGCTGCACTACGCTACACCACCTTCACTACGCTACACCAGCTGCACTACGCTACACCACCTTCACTACGCTACACCAGCTGCACTACGCTACACCAGCTGCACTACGCTACACAACCTTCACTACGCTACACCAGCTGCACTACGCTACACCATCTTCACTACGCTACACCAGCTGCACTACGCTACACCAGCTGCACTACGCTACACCACCTGACTCACACAACCTTCACGTCCTAAACCTAAATAAAAAAAAAGAGTATAAAATTTGAAAACGAATTCCTGATGACGGTGTGTGGAGCGTGCAGTTATCTGGCTCATGGTGGCTGTTGTGGGTATCTGGCTCATGATACCTATCTCGGGGAATCTAACCCATGATGCCAATTGCAGGGTATTAATCTGCGGCCAAGTCGAGAAAAACAGTGGTGGATGTACCGCAGCCTCACCTCCCTTCACCCTGGATGTCATCACAAACAGTGGTGGATGTACCGCAGCCTCACCCTCCCTCCACCCTGGATGTCATCACAAACAGTGGTGGATGTACCGCAGCCTCACCCTCCCTCCACCCTGGATGTCATCACAAACAGTGGTGGATGTACCGCAGCCTCACCCTCCCTCCACCCTGGATGTCATCACAAACAGTGGTGGATGTACCGCAGCCTCACCCTCCCTCCACCCTGGATGTCATCACAAACAGTGGTGGATGTACCGCAGCCTCACCCTCCCTCCACCCTGGATGTCATCACAAACAGTGGTGGATGTACCGCAGCCTCACCCTCCCTCCACCCTGGATGTCATCACAAACAGTGGTGGATGTACCGCAGCCTCACCCTCCCTCCACCCTGGATGTCACCACAAACAGTGGTGGATGTACCGCAGCCTCACCCTCCCTCCACCCTGGATGTCACCACAAACAGTGGTGGATGTACCGCAGCCTCACCCTCCCTCCACCCTGGATGTCATCATAAACAGTGGTGGATGTACCGCAGCCTCACCCTCCCTCCACCCTGGATGTCATCACACAGTGGTGGATGTACCGTAGCCTCACCCTCCCTCCACCCTGGATGTCATCACAAACAGTGGTGGATGTACCGCAGCCTCACCTCCCTCCACCCTGGATGTCATCACACAAAACACTGACTCAGTACATGTTAGTATATTTTTTGTTTGCTATTTTAAACAAGATTTAGAAAATAACTAGAAGTCTTAAAAGAAGGTTTTAATGATAATTGCGCTATTTAAGTCAATATTATGCAAAATCTATGCAAAACATGAGCGTCCCAGGTCGGCTGTGGGCAGGATGTAAATACAAAGCTTCTGCTAACTTAAGCAGCTAGGAACAAATAAACAGGAGAGCAGGCAAGGATTGAGTGTCCTTGTTATGACCAGCTGTGACAGGGACCCTGAATACAACACTGGGATGCAGCGAGAGAGAGAGGGAGAGAGAGAGAGAGAGAGAGAGAGAGAGAGAGAGAGGAGAGAGAGAGAGAGAGAGAGAGAGAGAGAGAGAGAGAGAGAGAGATGCACATTATCAGTTTTAAAGGTCACTCACCTGACTTCCCTTCACGGTCACGGTCACGGTCACGGTCACCCAGAAGACAGTTGTTAAAACAGAGGATAAGACACTTGTGCAACACTTTCATATCTTTACTGTGGAGACGTTTCGCCCACCAGTGGCTTTAGGGAC